TCCCAATATCATCACCAACAAAAAATAAACAAAAACATTCCAAACACAGATACGTCTACTAAATCACTACAACTGAAATTCAAATATAAAAGAATCCCTCAGCAATTAACCGTAAAACCCTGAAAAGAACACAGATGAAACCTATCAACATAACTTCTAAAATAATTCCATGAAAATCCCCGAACCATCGCCAAAAGGAACGATTAGTTCCCAAGGGAAGATCTAACTTCCAAAAAGGTAGAAGCAAACTAATCTAATTCGACCCCGAAATAATTAGCTGAGGCATTAGTGATACTGCAAGAATTGGAAGGGATTAAAAGCCAACAGGCTGGCGTCCAGGTTGTCGGAGGAACGACAGCTAAATACACCGAGCCGCGGGTGAATGATGAAGCGGGACGTGCTCCATTATCGTCGAACGTTTTGCATAAATTATCCAGACGACGTAGGGGGTAAAGGGCGCCAGAGGGGGAGGGGGATCGATCGTGAGAGGATTTCGATCGAGCCAGCAGGGACGAACTGATCGCGCGATAAATCTTGAGGAGCTTCAGTTTCGACGACCAGAAACGACACGGCCCCCACCAGGACGCGAGACGAGGATGAGGCAGGAATAACAAGACGGAAGAGAAAAATGAATTTACAATGATTTACCGCGAGGATATCGTCCCCTCCGGTTATTATATACACGAAGCAGCTTCCGTGACGGGAAGCCATTTTTCACGACGGCCACGAAGAATACTTACGGCCGGCTGACGTTTTAATCGATCTGTAAATAGCTGCCGGGAAACCGGGGGCTCGACCGCGGCCTCGTTTTAACTATGGACATTGTAATAATAATTACGTGGGAGAATTAACGAGCACGACAGCCATGAAGGACGGAGGATTCCGTGAAAAGCTCCTCGTTGCGTGAAGTTCTCCTTTTATGATCCTGAAGCCTGGGAGTTCCACAAGGAAATTAAACACCTGTGACTTTGGGTCTTGGTTAGGTCTGTATAGGTGGGAGACAGGTCTAAGGTGGTCACCTTTGGGTCTAGAGTTCGTATTGGTTAGATTTACGATGAATCTACGGTAGAATTAATGAGGATGAACATTTTGGGGTCTGATCATTAGGGAAAGGAGATATGGACTTTATGAGTTTCCTGATTGATTATTGGTTTAGGGTGTTTATTTAAGTAGACAGGTCTTTGGTAGGTCTTGATTAGGTCTAAATAGGTGGAAGACAGATCTAAGGTGCTTACCTTCAGATCTAGTCTTAGTATTACTTAGAATCTACATCAGAATAAACGAGGACAAAGCTTCTAACCTCTAATAATTAGGAAAAAATGGTATGTACTTGATAAGTTCCTCAAGTGATCATTGGTTTAGGCTACTTCATTAATCAAACATGCCTCGCTTATTTCTTGGTTAGGTGTGAATAGGCGAAAGACAGGTCCAAGGTCCTCAAGGTCAGATCTAGCCGTAGTATTAGTTAGGTCTACAATGAACCTACATCAGAATAAATGAGGACAAAATTTTAGCCTCCAATCATTAGCAAAAGAGAACATCTGCTCCATGAGTACCTCAATCGATCATTAGTATAGGGTGCCTATTTAATCAAACATGCCTTGATCAGATCTTGATTGACTCACGAGTCCCTCAATTGATCATTAGTTCAAACTACCTATTCAATCAAACATGTCCTCGCCATACACTAAAGAACGCCCAAGAATCTAATTCCGACATTCAATGCGGCATATGCAGTTCGTTGTACAATTCTGATTATGACTCCAACATCAGGACCTAAAAAAGGGAACCCTTAGTGTAAAGCCAAAGTTAATGCCCAGAACAGATGCAGCCACCTCCTGACAGTCACCGCGTCTCATTTAATAATCCAGAAACAAAGGGAGTCATTCAGTCCTCCCGCCTGTACGTGTCCACCTCTCCCAACGTTTTTTATCGCCCTCACTGTTCCCTTCCCTTCTTATTTCGCAAAATCTTCCGGCCTGATCTCCTCGCGCTTTAATATACCCACGATTACGCGCCAGCTCGCGACTTTATGAGGACCGCCATGCAAGTGATCTTCCCCGCCCTCGGTGCCCAGCTTTGCCGCCACCCTTGGTAGCAGGGAGAGCCACCCTACGGTGGAGGGGAAGGTATTCTTTTATATCTTCTGCAGCAGGCTTCGTGAATTCATACTTTCGTGACGGATAGAGGGACCCGGGCAAGAAAATGACACCGGAGAATTGAAGAAGATTGCGCGGTCGACGATAGACGTCTACTAGCCAACGACAGTTTCTGCTTCCTTCGTTGGATGCTGCCGGGTCACGAGCTAGAACGAAGGATTCCGCGTTTCATTGGTGACTGATGACACTGATGTAGTTCTGTTGATTTATTCAGCTCGTCTGACGATATACAGATATATTCCACTGTGGAATTGGATATAAATGGATTAAATGTGCTTGTAAGTATTAGTGCGTGGAAAATGAAGTGGAGGAATCGTGATTAGAACTTAGAATTGATGTAAGTAAAATTGGTCGGCGATGGTCAGACAAGAGAGTAAGTGAAGTAATGATACTTAAACTACGAATTTTAATCCCTTATCGTTAGGAATTTATTAGGAAAAGATCAGATTCTGTTTATTATCCATCGACCATTACTCTATGAAGGATAACAGGAGATAATATAAAAATATCGTTTAATTTATGCTTAAAAACGAATAAATGATACTCAGGTTGCTTGAAATCAATTTTAAATTTTCGTCACGAGTCTGACACGATATTGTAGGTCAACGGGTTAAGCATTTTTAATAACTATGCGTATGATATATATGAATAAGGGGAATATCTGATAATTTATAGAAGGACAATTAGAATTATTAAGAGGAGAAATTAGTTTCTGCGGAATATTTATTTTTCGAAATTTTTATTTCGCACGGGAGTCCATTGTCTGCAATTGTATTTTTATCTCTGAAGTGACTTATCTTTACGTAACGCAGCCGGGAACGAGCTCAGTGCCAAGTGTATCAGCGTTTGTTCGCGGTCTGACCAAATACAGTCTTTCTCTACTGACGAGAAAGTAAAATCGAGCGCGAGCCCAGGTCGCTCGCCGTCTTCACGAGCCACTTACTTCAACATTTTATTACTTTTCCCTTGTTTCGGCTTGATTGTCCCTCTTAATTTTAAACTTCGGAATACGCTCAACCTCGAAAATTAGGTTTAGTGCCGCGCGGGCGGCACCAGGGAACTGCGTAACAAAAACTGAAAAATGGGCAGAGAAAAAAAAATGAAACGCCTTCTACGTACCGCGAATGTATTCCGCAATTTAAAAGCCGGCCTGGTTGCGAGTGAAAGGTCAAAATTACATTTCCCTCTGACCGTAATCGATGATTCGCGGACGTAATTTTTATGAAGCGTATCCAATCAATTTTAATGAAACTCGCTGGAGACACGCGGTCGCCAGAACGGTTTTTTATAAATGTTTCGTAAGAGCGAATAATTAAATGAACGCTGAAAAAACAGCTGAATAACGAAGTGCAGGGAATTCGAACGAATCGAGGATTTTTATTTAATACTCCAGCCATTCGTTCCTGTTTCTATTAGATTTGAACAAATGTTATCGATTTGTTTATCGGGGTGATAAAATGTTTAATTAATTAGTCTTTTTTTTACGATTGATCAGGTTTGATTGAGTGGTCTCTGGAATTTGACGATGTTTGATTAAGTGGATTTCGAAGCTTGATCGTGTTTGATTGATCAGTTGGAAAAGTTTGACTGTGTTTGATTAAGTAGTTTAGAAAAGTTAGTTAGGTTTAATTAATTAGAAGAATTTTTACTGTGTTCGATGAAATTATTCGAAGAATTTGTGTTAGTTTGAAAGTTCTTTTGGTAAATTGCTCTCCAATTAACTAATTCCGAACCGACACGTCAGTTTGACTGATCAGTTGGAAAAGTTTGACTGTGTTTGATTAAGTAATTTAGAAAAGTTAGTTAGGTTTAATTAATTAGAAGAATTTTTACTGTGTTCGATGAAATTATTCGAAGAATTTGTGTTAGTTTGAAAGTTCTTTTGGTACATTGCTCTCCAATTAACTAATTCCGAAACGATACGTCAGTTGCAGTGAAAAGGGAGTCCATTGTTAATAATTTCCAAATTCAGGAAACTTCATCGAAGTCTGCAGCAAGTTCCACGAAGGCAATGCAGGAATGCACATTGACATTCCGATGTTTGCGCCAGCTACGAGCAACCAAAGTCAAGTATCTTCGCGTTTAATCCGGCACACACTGTTTATTTATGCGAGCTAGAGTGTCTTCGGTATGTAATGGAGGGATTGCCGCTGCATACCGTCATAATTACACACGGTGTGTCTTACTTGAGTGCGCACTAGCGTAGCTCTACTATTTATTATTCGCAGAGAACAGTGTCGCTGTTACGTTCACAAAGCCACCGGGTTTTTCGCGAATAATCTCGTCGTACTTTCCTTATGAATATCTTACTTTAACAAGGAATATTTTTCAATGAATATTCCGTGGGTTTATTCTTATCCCACTGATTAAAAATCCACGAATAAACAATTTCAACAGAAGAAATAATTCTGAATAATTCTTACTGTCCCAGTTCTTCGAACCTCTGCTACTTTGCAATATTGTATTGCAATTTTTTAACGGATAAAGGATATTGGATATCATTTGAAGTACTTAGAAAAAATTACTCCAAATAATTGTTTACTATTCCAATTTTTTAAATCTTCGTCACTATGCAATATTGCATTTCAATTTTTTAGGGGAAGAATATTGGATATCATTTGAAGTGCTTGGAAAAACTTTAAATAATTTTTTTAATCTTTATCACTTTGCAACATTTCAATTTTTTCGAGGATGAGGAATATTGCATATTACTTGAAGTATATAAATAAAATTACTTTAAATAATTTTACTATCCCAATCTTTCGAACGTCTGTCACTCTGCAAAGTTGCATTTCACTTGTTAGGAGATGGGAAGTATTGGTTATCGTTTGAAGTACTTACCAATCGAGTGTTGCTTTCGCCACGTACATCACCTGCCTTTCTTTATCAGGGTTCAAGGGATGATGGGAACGGCGATCATTGATGGAGACGATGGCATGACAGACGAGACGAGTCTCGTTTTGATCGACTATTGTCAGGCTGTAAGGCGATGCCAGAAGTCGAGACGATATTCGATCCAAGGCTAGCCACAGTTTATTGGACACCACCCAAGATGGATATGTACATTGTTTTGGCTGCTCTTCTGTAAAAGTAAATCGAGAAAGTTATTCCTAATATCTTAAGAAAGCAACTAACTTCATCATTAATTCATTAATTCATTAGAAATAAATCCATAACGAAATAATTCACTAATTGCAAGCAATTGTTTAATCAATTCTCACTGAAAACAAAGGCAATTGTTTGTCGATGTTCTTTTTCATTTTGAAATGGAAATGCAATGATAGCTTTCCAGCAAAATGTTATAAATTTGATCCAATAACTTTAATCCTCCACGGAAGTTAAATACGATTAGACGTCCAAGAATAGGACGCCAGCGTTTCGCCAGGATTCATTCTGTCCTCGAAATAATATAACTCCGTCGCTAACACAGTTATTCCAACCTCGAAATGCATAATACAACTAGAAACTCATTCCCGACTCTTCAAGTTCGCCAAGTTCCCGTGATAACCGAACTACCTGCAAACTTCCTTCTTTTTCATTCTTCCCCAAGCTATGTATATACTTATAAAACTGTCGAGCCAGTTATCTGTCAGCAATAACGAGGAGAAAAAGAATTGGTGTCTCCTTAAACTACGTAATCGACTTAATAAAATGGTAATTTGGAATTTCGTTCTACTGTTCTGATAGCAGACTCTGTACAATCGTGAATGTTCATGATTTTGACAGTTTTGTACTCTTTAAGTGACATATTTCTGTTCTGTTATTGTACTTTGAATTTCTGTAGAATTGTAAGAGATAATGATTTAGTATTTCGTACTTTTTATACGGAATACTTTTTTTTCTGCTATTATAATTACCATTTCTATAAAATTTTAGGGATTTACCATTTTTACGTTTTACACACTTTATGTAATATATTTTTGCATTACTGGTGTGCTTCCATGTTCTTGCAAATTTTTGTTTTTCCTACCTTACAAATGAAATATTATTTCACTACCATTGTGCTTTTAATTTCTATGAAATTTTATGGATTTATAACTTTCATAAAATTGGAAGGGTTCGCAATTCGTTGAGTTTGCTGAATGGTGAATATTTTTGATTAATTAATCTCTGAACTCTGAATGTTTGTTAGTCTTCGAATTTTGAATATTCTTGATTATCCAATCATTGAATATCGAATATTTCTAATTACGTGATCTTTGAACTTTAAATACTTCTAATTATCTAATCTTTGAATTTTAAATATTTACGATTACCTAATCTTTGAATTTTGAATATTTCTAATTATCTAACCCTTGAATATCGAATATTCTTAATTAACTCTTCAGTTCCGTACACCTCCAACAAAATACTTTTAATTTATGCTTCCAATTTCCATAAAATTGTAACGGTTCGTAATTCTGTAATGATTACATAGGGCGTATTACATGGTTGTTGCAATATTACCATGGTGTATCCTCTGAACATAATTCAGAGGCTATTACGGATCAACGATATCGCCAACAGGATCGATATATCGATCACGCTCGGTACGGCCGCGCATACATCGACGCCCGTGCATTTTTAACGGTCCATTAATTCGTGCACAGTGATTGATAGCTGCGAGCAGTCGACCATCGACACGATAACTGTTTGCAGACGACAAAGCTGACGCGCGTTTATGGACGAGCTTTGCGTTTTTCGTGGTTCATTGTAAACACCCTGCTATTTTTTTGCGACACGATTTTCCTACGCAATCAGATATGTCAAAAATACCGTGCACCTTGATTTACTTCCGCCGCTAGTATTTCATTAAAAACACCCCTTCGAAAACTAGAACAATGCACGCTTATTTGAACACTGTTTCGCTGGCATTTAACGTTTCTGCCTCCTTTATGCAGTTTCAAATTTACTTTCCACCCGTTGCACTCTTTTCAGCCCAAAAAGAAATTGCTGTTCCATGCAAATTAAGACAGAATTCTAAGGTTTCCTGGTAAACTACCCTGCAACAGCAATATGAGTTGCCAGTGGTCTAAAGTTTCGAAATTCTTAACTGTGAAGTTAAAAGGACGATGTGATGAATGCAACTAAAGATATTAGTAATTTTATTTTAGTCGAAAATTTTAGGAAAATGTAATAATGGCTTTCTTTATATTATACAAGATTAATTTTTGACGTATTATCAAGTTTCCTTAGTTGCTGCATTTTGAATATTTTTCATTGATTAATCTCTGAATTTCGAATATTTCTATTTACGTAATCTTTGAATTTTGAATATTTTTGATTATCTGATCTGTGAATGTCGAATGTTTCTAATTATAATCTTTGAATTTCGAATATCTTTAATTATGTAACCTTTAAATATCGAATGCCCTTAATTATCTAATCTTTGAGTTTAGAATATCTTCAATTATCTAATCTTTCAAATTTGAATACTTCTAATTATCTAATTTTTGAATTTCGAATACATTTATTTAACTAATCTTTAAATTTTCAATACTTTCGATTACCTGATCATTAAATTTCTAGCATTCTCGATTAATTGATCCTTCAAATTCTATATATCATTAACCAATATTTCAATTATCAATCCATTATCTTTACTACCAACTGTTTCTTGAATCTACGATGTCCACGCCAAGAAATAAAAACGACTGGTTGCTGTACGGGTAATAAAATAATTGAATAACACGGAATCATAGTTGTAATCGGATTACCATGAGAATTCTTTCCTGCAAGGCCAATATCTTCCTGAACGTGCTAAACTGAACAAAATCACGGCCAAAGGGCATTAGTGTGAGTAATGTTCTCTTCATTCAACCGGAGTAGGAAAAGGAGCAGAGAGAGGTTCGAGACTCGGGGGTTAATCTGCCTTCTGGAAAGTTTAAATGGAAACGCAGACCAACGCTGGAGAACGGGGTTAACGAAACATCCGGCTGGATGTTACTGCTCCACCCTTGAAAAATTTTTAATCTGCTTAGCCTCTCGATCGAATTCGACGATGCCTTCAAAGATCAATATTTTCATTTAAATCCATTACTCTATATGGAGTAATTTGAAACCTTTCTATAAATTTTATAAAAACTTTCTAAAATAAAAAATGAAGTATTGCAAAACAGGACGTTTTTCTGAGAAAGAAATTATGAAAATTGGTAAGACTTTTATGAGTGAATAATGAATAATAAACAATGAAGATAGAAGAAACTAGTGTTAATATTGTTATATTACACTCTATATTTTATTGGAAGTTCAACAAACATTTCATTAATTTGAAAATATTCTATTAATTTTATGAATATTGTTTCCAAAAAAGTTGAACAGTTGTAGATTAGAATTTGTTTCTGTGAAAGGAATTATGAGAACTGGTAAGATTTTTATAAGTGAACAATGAATAATAAAAAATGAAGATAGAAGAAACTAGTGTTAATATTGTTATATTACACTCTATATTTTATTGGAAGTTTAACAAACTTTTCATTAATTTGAAAATATTCTATTAATTTTATAAATATTGTTTCAAGAAAAGTTGAACAGCTGTAGATTAGAATTTGTTTCTGTGAAAGGAATTATGAGAACTGGTAAGTTTTTGTATTAATAAAAGGAATGAATAATGAAGACAGGAGATAATAATGATAATCTTTCTATGTCCCATTGTGTATTCAAGATCGTGATCGACGGAAATTACTTTAGAATCCAGAAAATGTCACCGAAACCTGGCACAGGCCCCACATGGCATGAAATAAATCTTGCTGGTGCTCGTGCAGCCAGTGCGCGATCACTCATATATCCCGGAAATCCAGCAGAATGCGGTTCACCGCGAAGCCAGAAACAAGATCATCTCCATCTGATACTATTGTCTATTCATACAAGCACTTACAGAGTTCCGCGACACGAAGAACAGGATGCACTACGTATTTAGACTAAACCTGACGCGATCGATTGTTCCTAAACCCTCTAACAAACCATGGGAAATCAAATTTCACCTTGATACAGGACATTAGATCAGCCAAAAAATGTCCTCAATTTTTGAAAGGAATTTAAGAGAAAATGTCCCACTAAATTCATTAATATTGACCTATTAGTAACATTATTCAACAAACTTCCGCAATATTTTTGGAATATTTCTATCATCTATTCTAATTCGCTTTATCATTGATTAGTATTAATCTAAATATTACTAATATTATCCAACAACTTTCTAAAATATTTTAAAAATATTTGTCATCTATTCTACTTCGATTCATAATCAATAATATAACACCATCATCATTATCACTATTTTTCTTATTATCATAAAAACTACTATTATCAAGCATCAGAAACAAAACCATACAACTGAAACATCCGGAAGCCATTCCAAAACCCAATTACCAAACCTCACATCACAAATTCCAAATAAAACAAAACTAACCAGAGACCATACAAAAACACCACAAAACCACTAACCACTAAATATCACAAATGACGATTACACGAAGATCAGAACGCATCCAAAGCAACGTATCCAGCCTAATCAAAGACTCCTAATCCCGTAATCCACCGCAGGAAATCAGCCCGAGCCCAAAATTCGCTTTCCCAGCCGATCGAGCAACAATTCCATTCCGTTCAAATCGAACGACAAGAAAGATTCAGCCCGCGTTCGACGAATTCAATTCCAAGAATGTCCAGCGCTGGTCTGTGTTCGTCGCCTCGATTTGGTTAACCGTGGGCCGCAACGCGAGAATCATCGCAATCTGGCAAGGTTACGTGCAGCTATGCGATACCGTGGAATACCCGAAGTACCTGGCGTCAGCCCCGATAGCGCGCGGAACAAGAATCTGATCCGGTGTCCGCAGACACCCCCATAGTTCACGTGCCCTTGTTCTTCACCGCTGTTCCTATCGTCGGCCCGCGGTCGCTGTCACGCTGCCGCGCGCGCTTATGAGTTAACGATCACCCCCACCCGCACCCCTTTCGGTTAGGTTTATCCGAGTACACCCGCAGCGTCTGCCGTTCCGGCCTCCGTGGAACGTGATGGACCCGTCGATGCTCGAGCATCGGTCCTGGCGTCGATGTACAATCTTTGATAGGGAAATTAGGGCCACCCGTAGTGTTATATGCTTTTGACGTTATTCGACGGGTTCGATGCTTCCTGAAGTGTATGTCTTAAGCAAAGGAGAATGATTTCTGATTGAGAAATTAGGGCCCCCAGTGTTATATGCATTTACGTTATGTTCAATTGTAGCAGCTTTCGGACATTGGTTCGATGTTTCTTGAAGTGTATGTCTTAAGCAGAGCAAAATGATTTCTGATTGAGAAATTAGAGCCACCCGTAGTGTTATATGCTTTTGACGTTATTCGACGGGTTCGATGCTTCTTGAAGTATATGGTTTAAACAAAGGAAAATGATTTCTGATTGAGAAATTAGGACCACCAGTGTTATATGCATTTACGTTATGTTCAATTGTAGGAGCTTCCGAACATCGGTTCGATGTTCCTTGAAGTGTACGTTTTGAGTAAAGGAAAATGATTTTTGTTTGAGAAATAAGGACCATCTGTGGTATTACATGCTCTTGACGTTATGTTCAATCTTAGGAGTTATTGGAAATTGATTTGATGCATTTTCTTGAAGTGTGCGTCTTAAGCGAAGGAAACTGATTTCTGATCGAGAAATTAGCGCCACCTGTAATGTTATGCATTTACGTTACGTTCACTTTTCAGAGCTTTTGAACATCGGTTCGATAAAACCTTTGAAAACCATTACCTAAACATAGTAACGATGCAAACATTGAATAAAGAGGATAATCATTGAGAAAATGCGAACGTGAATTAAGTGAAAAATACCCGAAGGAAGTTAAATTAACGTTGAAACAATGAAACTTCGAGGTACTCACTTTGAGTCATCGTGTACGTCCTGGCGGCGTCGGTGACGCTGAAGCCGATGCAAGCGGCGTCCGCGCTCTGCGCGAGCTTCCACGAGTTGTTGGACGTCTGCTGATAGATGAAGCACCGATAACTGTCCTCGTCGTTGGTCTTGCGCGAGCTGTGCAGCCTGGCGACCAAATTGTTCGTGCTGCCGTCTTTCCACGTGGCGAAACACTCGATCTCGACGTCTGTGGAGCAGAAACGATCGAGCTCGCAGTGAAATTTCCGTCGGAGTTTCGTTTTCTGTGCTGCGCCGTGGATCACGAACAGCGAATTGGCCGCGATCACCGTGGAAAATTATGGTTGGGCGCGTTCTAAACCGTTAATAAACCGTACAGCGACGCGGAGAATGAATTATACGTCGGACAGCCAGCCAGCCAGCATCCGGGCTCGTCCGGTTACACGTACGGATCGCCGTGGTACTCGCGGAAAATCGTTTCGACAAGCTGACCAACAAATGGTAATTGACAGGACCATTAATCATTTACCGCGACGCCGAAAGCTTTATTGACCGTTACAGGTCTCCGGTGTCGTGTTAATTAACGTCGTGACCGAATATTATTAACGAGGCCAAAAATCGCGTTGCTTTTGGTCACCCGGTATCTTTGTCTTTGTCTGTATGATGGTACGATTCGATAAACGGGATTACTAAGGTGTAAAGAATGATAGAAGAGGGTAACGTGTAGCTAAAGTTATGGTAGCTAACTTAGCTAAGTAGTCCTAGATGAGAGAATGTTGCTTAAGAATGTTGAGGACATTTGGTTTAGGGGTCTAACTCTATGATAGAATAGTAAGCTCAGATTAAATAATAATTCTCGAAGGAAAAAGATTTAAATAATAACTCCTAGGACACGATAGTACCTAATCTAGGGTAGCTAACCTAAAAGAGTCAAACGTTAGAAGTGCCTTAAATCAATACTAGGTAGTCAAAGAAGAAAGAAAGTACTAGTCCAAGCTAAAAGCTACGAGTTGTACCTAATTTGTATATTTAATATATATAGTACCTCATCTAGGTTGCGAACCTAACCTAAAAGCACCTAGTTTCATAGTGTGAAGCTTGGGACATCGAAGCTAGGGTATCTAACTTCACAAAGTCACATATTTATGATAGCAATGTTGTATTTTCCATAAAGAAAATGAAATTATTCCTATAAATACTGTTATCTAAAGTTATAAGCTTTATATTTAGGGACTCTGTTTCAGTGTCGTTTCTTCAATACTTTGTTTAGAAGATTTGTTGAGTCGAATAGAATATTACAGCTGCGGTGATCGTAACCGAAACAAACGCTGATAGTGAACGTGTTAAGCCACCCTAACTTCCTAACAGCGGACCTTCTTGATAATCCGACGTTAATTGAAGAAAGCAGTTATCAAAGGCAAGTTACAAACCCAGCCTTTCAGACGCAGGAACGTTGGCGCAAGCTTGGTACCGCAGCAGCAATCTTGATTCCTGAGTGCAAGTCTCGGCGGTGGACATCGGTGAGCGGCACTCGTCTTCTCCTCGGCTGTACGTGAACTCCATGGGTCCTTTGAAAGGGCAGGGCATGGGGGTCGCCCCGATACGGAACAGCGAAATAAGACTGGTGTCGGTGGCCAGGTTTCTGCACATCTCATCCAGGCTGGGCTTCGGCGAGTACGCCGTGCAGTATGCTGGAAGAGGAACACGATCAATCTCGAACAATGCAACGTTGACAAACCGCCAGCCCCGAAGATACTCACTCTCTTTGTATTGAAGAATATTTGGATGCTTTATGTGCATCACGATGCAGCGGTAGCACATCTCCACTCTGCAACAGAAACGTGAACCGGGTTCATTAACCCCTTGTCCTACAACGAGTAAGACTCGTGGTGAAGATTTTCATGATTCAACAAATATATATATTAGTTAATTCGAATTTAAAATAAATATCATTTCTCTGTAATCAACTATTATGCTTGAAAGGAAATATAGGCATAACATATTCTTAGAATTTTTCTCTTTTTTCAATCAATTATTAACACGTTGAATGCCATGGGGGTGACCGGTGACCCTCGACCAAATCGAATTGCTATAGTTCACTCAATGGAACGACAATTATATGAAAACATTTCTATATTGTAAATAATGCTGCATAATACAGTGCCATTCAGCTAGACGAACGTGGAATATTAATAATCAATATCATATTTTTTCCATTCTGTGTATTTTCCTCTGAGAAATCGTGCAACATGTTAATAACACAGTAGCCGTATCGATGAGAGTTGAGAAAGAAATCACAGGCCAAGGGGTTAATGTCTGGAAAATGATTAAGAGTACAAAGGACGATAGCTGGTTCTAGGCAGATGGCAGATTTCAGATAGAATTGTTCGTAAAATTCTATGAATAGCTGGCTGGCAGAGCATCAGGGAAGTACCAGGATTAACACTTTTCATCCCGGAATTATTGAGGCGGGGCAGCGGCGCCGTCATTTGCCGAGGTAATCGCAGGGGGTGGCCGTGAAGTGTATATCGCGCTGACGGACAGAAACAAAGGTAAACTTCGTCCCGAGCCGGCAGGAAAGGAGGATGCTAGCAGTGAAGAACATCCGCGGAGGAGAGGGCGGGTTACGCGGAGTGGGGTGAACGGGCGGGGGGTGCAGAGTCAGGAAGAGAAGGAGACTATGGGAGAAGGTAGAAGTTGCAAACCGGAGCTAAGTAAGCAAGGTGCCAACTAGTAGGGACACAAGACAAGCTCCAAAAGTTTTAAGTAGCTACGCGATACTACTTGGACCCAGCCCCGGGTCCATTCATCCCCTTCCCGCCGAGCCGGCCGTAACCGCGGTGGCTGTCTCTATTGCGCCTCGCAGTTTGTCTTTTCAACGTGTACAAATACCCGTGGAATGTGTGCGCGCTGCAGCGCCGCCGGTATTTGCGCGTCCTTATTTTTCCACGCTGATGGGACATCTTCGGGTGGAAAGGTTCAGCGTCGCTAGATTTCGTTTCATGAATTTTTATCGGTGTCCGCGGTGTTCCTGGGTCACTGTGACGCTGTCGACTTGCTTTCGGAGGGCGTTAGTGTTCGTGGGGAATAATGGGTTGATTCGAAATTGCAGTGTTCCAGGGGGAAGATTGGATAGATTAGGCTACCTTCGAGGCTGCCTGTGATGGATTGGGTCACTTTTGAGGGCAAGGAAGGCGGGTCCGGTTGTGCTGGGAACTAGTTACAGAGGGTAACGTCTTTTTAAAGAGATCAATAATAGGTTTTTAAAGGCATAGAAGATTAGATCCTCTTTAAAGCCATTTATGATGGATTATACGATCTTTAGAGGCATTGTGATAGATTAAGTCTTCTCTGAGGATGTCTGTGATAGATTATATCTTACTTGAGGACATTTATGATAGATTAGGTCTTCTTTGAAGTCATTTATGATAGATTATATGATATTTAGAGGCACTAGGATAGATTAAGTCTTCTATAAGGACATCTGTGATAGATTACACCTTATTTAAGGACATCTATGCTAGATTAGGTCTTCTTTAAAGCTATTTATGATAGATTATATCATCGTTAGAGACACTATGATAGATTAAGTCTTCTCTAAGGACATCTATGCTAGATTAGGCCTTCTTTAAAGCTATTTATGATGGATTATATCATCGTTAGAGACACTATGATAGATTAAGTCTTCTCTAAGGACATCTATGCTAGATTAGGTGTTCTTTAAAGCTATCTATGATGGATTATATCATCATTAGAGACACTATGATAGATTAAGTCTTCTATAAGGACATCAATAATAGGTTAGATCTTATTTGAGGACATTTACGTAAGCCTAGGTCTTCTTCGACATTTATTAGATTAAATCTTCCTCAATGACACTTACGATGCACTGTATCTTCTTCAAGGACATCTACGATAGATAAAGCACCCCTCAATTCTGTCAACATCCTTAAATCTCCGAATAGACACGACAGCTTGCTTCTTCTTTTCGAGCACGTTACATCGAGTCAAACATCCCGCGAATATTTCTGCGCGAGGAGGTTTACGTTGAGCGTATCGTGTATGAACGTATTCCGAATGGAGGAGAACCGGGGATCCCTATAAATCCTTTACGACCCGAGTTTTACTGTAAAGGACCGCGGGTCGTTTTTCTGCGCGCTTATCGGGAGCCACTCATCATTTAAATGCACCGAACGCTGAATTGGTTTCAAAGCAGTAAGATCAATGACGAGAAGCATAAAAGTAGTCTCGAAAGACAAGCGCATGTGTGAAATATGTGTGGGACGGCCAGGTATCGGTGTACACGGGTCCACCGGCGCACGAAACGTTTCCCGGGCACAAATATACTCGTATACGAGCGATCGGTTCATGCTTCGTAAAAAGGAGCAGGGGGAGACGTATTTGGCAATCTGTGACGTTTACAAATAGGTCGGTCGCGCATATATCCAGCCCAGTTTACGGCTTCCGGTCTGAAATTGTACAGAAAACTCTATTCTCTTCCGGGGGGAAGGTAGATGAAATATTGTGATCAGATAGATTACCAGAAAACAGACGTCATGCTGGATATTTAAGTGTACAGGAATCGATGCTGACGGTTTTCCAATTTCAAATTGTGCAGACTGCTCGATTTTCTATCCGGGACACCGCGATAGATAAAATACTGCGACAGAATAGATTGCAACAATGTAGTTATCTTGAAGTTCAATTAATCAAGGACTGAGTTATGGAGTAATGGAAAAGGTGACGAATCAGCGTCATCGGTAATTATCAAAAATATACGATGCCTGGCGTAGCTAGTCGAGGAACAAGCTTTCATCGGGATCGTTAATTTCTTCTAGTCAATTAGAGCTAATTATCTTCCGCCCAGGAACGGTGCAGTACGACTGCTATCTCCCACCTTTTAACGTGAGAAATTGTAATAATGCCTGTCTGCCGGTGGATCCCTTATGACTCTGTACACCTTATGGGAGACATTTCACAGGAACATCGTTACGTGCTGGGCATAATTGTTGAGACCATAGTGGTCTTGCGTTGATTAGCGCACTACGTGCAACTTGCTTATTTGCACGAAGACACGTTGCTCGAGTAGATTAAGGATATTTCCGGGTATTGGTAAACTGATTTGTTAACAGCATTCAACGTGTTTATATTAACTCGTCACCGTAATTCAAATTTTAGACAAATGGCTTGTTGAATCGGTAGACATTGATCTGTGATAGATTGAGCAATGAGTAGAAATTAATCTATGATGGATTGATAAATGAGTAGAAATTAATCTATGGTGGATTGAGAAATGAGTAGAAATTAATCTATGATAGATTTATCAATGAGTAGAAATTAATCTATGATAGATTAAGCAATGAGTACAAATTAATCTATGATGGATTGAGAAATGAGTAGTAATTAATCTTACATAGATTGCCAGATGAATGATTGTCTGATCATTAACTAGATTGGAGACAGATTGTCTGACTAGTAAGTAGAATCAGATCTCAGATAGATTATCTGACGACTGAAGAAAACAAAGAAAGCGCGACTAATTAACATTGAAGCTAGATTAAATCTATATTAATCTATTTCTCATATAAGTTCGGTTCAACAAGGGTCAACTACTGAACAATAAACAAATCCGAAAACTGAAAACCTAACTATGTACCTCAGCCACTCACGCAGCAAATCGAATCGACCGGGTCAGTTTTGGAAACAAAGTTCATCAGTCAAGCCCTAACTCCCAGTGCATCAACTATTCGCGTAAGTAACTTCGGAAGCTTAATTGCAAAAAGAAAGCACCGATACTTCGCCGGACTAGCAACAGAAAAGAAATAAAAGGTTACACACAATGCCCAAAGTCCGGAACGTTTCTATTTTCCATATTCCAAATTTCGCTGGCTCGGGGTCGAGGGAAAACAATTTTCGCGTAACAGAGAAACTCGTTACTCCGGAATAAATTTTCCAAGCGCGACGTGCAAACGCCGGAGTGGCGGGGGGCTATGAAAAAAATGCGCACGCGCCCTATTTTTAATCAAAATCCCCTCTGTCGGGCGGAAAAATCGCGTGAGGCCAGGATTCATCTACGCGGAAGTAAATTCGTCGGTTCGAGACAGGTTTCCTGTCGATGCAAACTTAATTACCGAAGAAAAAGTCCCGGCGCGTATGTTCCGTCGGCTCGCCGGAAGTCCCTCGCCGCTCGTAACCGGTAGCGCTGGTACACCTAGTTGGGACTCAAAGCGGAAGAACGAGTGAAGTATAGGTAATGGCAACCTTATTGCACGGAGATCTCTCGCGGGACGAAAAACTTCATAACCGTGCCGCTCACATGATATCCAGCGTTACCATGCTGCTAATTCGTTTTACCGTAGCAGCGAGCTGAATCTTGGCAACTTAACCTCAAACCTTGCAAGTTCAGTCAATATGTAGACCTCAGACAGCTAATAAGTTTCCTTTAACGACACCTCATAGATTATGTGATAGATTAAACTGTTTGTAATATAGAAACAGGCCTGATGCAGACCTAACTTAAATCTGAATCACTTCTAACCTAACTGTCGCTTAGTAATATATCATTCAAGATTGACCTAGTCTAGACTTGCTACAAATCGAATCTAGATTCTATGTGGACCTAACCTTCAGAAGTCTGACCTAGACCTAACCTCAAATCAGATTTCGGCATCTAGTGCCATCTGCAGTAACTTAGACTAACTCTAGCCTCACTCGAATTAGTTTCTATGTTCCTTTATAACTGATTATACCCCCAATTGAATCTGACTGAGACTGTTCCTAAGTGCTGGGTAGTCTTTGAAGCCTGTAGACTAAGTTAGTCACCGCTAC